CGTCAATACCGCCGTGGATCTGCCTCGGCCTCTGCCTGGCTGGCCGTGCAGGTGCAGGCGCGGGATCTGGGGAGCGATTCGTGGGAGGAGGGCAGGTGAGACCTCCACCAGAACGGCAAGGAGCAAGGGATCGTCCCCCATATGCGCATAGCATAGATCGATCGGGACGTACGTTTTGCATATGCTGATGCCGTCACGTGGCGTGGCGCCGTGGGAAATGCGTGCCGGCCGGTCCGCTCTGTCCGATCAAGTTGGTGCAGGCACTACCGCCGGAATTTAAAAAGTCCGGTCGTCTTTCTCGAATGGAAAACAGAGAAGAACGGCCTGCTTCTAGCTGTTGGTGGTGTTGAGTTGGCCGTTTCATTTTTATTTATTTATTTAAGCGAGGTGAGGTTTGCTGTTGGGGTGTTGGTGACTGATCTCATCTCATCACAGCTCACTTCTACTAGTAGTCCGTAGGTCACAACAACCGATGGGATGGAGTGAGGGAGTGAGGGAGGGATATCCATGCGATCGCGACGTCTACGGCGGTTCGGAGTTGCTCGGAAATCTCCCTCTCTCTCTCTCTCTCTCTTCTCGCTCGTCACTACCCACTACTAGTATTAGGAGCGTCACACGGCACAAGAGTGGTGGTAGTGTACAAACTGAGGCTCCTCCGTCTCGAGTACGTGTGCGCGCGGTAGTTTCTTCCCGCCTTCAGGCCAACAGTTTTACGTTAGGTAAACAACGACGGAGAGACACGGACCAACGGGCACTGCCGTCGGTATTCTACGGACGTACTCCTGTGATATGATAATCGTACGATCGCCGTCGATGACAGACACCCAGACCCAGTCCATCCGTCTCGTATTCTCTCGTATTCTCATCCTGGTGAGTGGTGACGACGACCGGATCCGGATGCACAGACCAACTTCATCTCTTTCTCCTTCTCGAACGAGTGCACCATCTTCCGATGGGCGGGTGGCGTACGAAACAAGGGTGCTGGCATCATTCGGCCGTTCCGGCCGGACGTGGACAGCGCGATCGCGGCGGCAGGTGGGAGATCGGAGGCGCGCACGCTGGCGGCACGGCCGGCCGAATGATTGCGCTGCCGCCGCTGCTTTCCTTCCTTCTCTCCGGCCCGCCTACGTACGTACGCACGTCGCTAGTAGTACGTGCAACTTTTTTTTTGAACTGTTGTATGTACTGTACGTGCATCTTTTGCAAGTTGGCGCTCCCCGGCGATGCATGCATGGATGGACGTCCGGTTGGCGGTTGCGGCGGGCCAGCCGTGACCACGTTACCCTCTCGCCCATGTTTGGAAGTGTCGGGGGCGGGGCAGGGCAGGGCACGGTGGGGAGCGTGCCGCCGCCCGCCCGGCCCCGGATGTGCCTCTCCATCGGCTGCGGTTCTCTACGGCGCCGGAGCACCGACGGCGGCGCGTCCACATCAGGCCTCTATCGTGGACATGGCCACGCCCGTCCGCACCAAATCGTCATGTTATATCAATGATCACCATCCGCCACACAGAGCGCGCTTCATATAGATGTGTAGGCCGTGACGGCTATGCGCACACACAGAGTCGTCATATCTCAGCCTTCATGAACAATTTCATCTTTACTCATTCAAACATTTCGATGGCCGCCAAAATTTAACATTCGACACATTAATGCAAGCAGTGTACATGGTCTTTGACAATTCCAATGAAGGCGAAATGCCCGAATCGCATGCCTTCGTTGTCTGCACCGTCCCCTTTCGCCGGCATTTGCAACGTTCCCTCCTTCGACGTGTGCATTGGGCTCTTCTTCGAGGTTCCTCAAACGTATGGTGATGTTCTACGGCTTTGCCCAAAATTATCGAGCCACTGGATCCATTGTGCTCGGATCCATCATGATAAATTGATTCTTGGTGTTCATGCGGTTATCTCTCGCCCGATTTTGCCTTAATTTGGAGCCCACGCGGCTCCATCTCGATCTTAAGTTGGAGCCCCTTGTCCTCAGTGACTGGCTGATGCAGTTTGCTCTCATGCATAACCTCCCGTCTCGCCTTCTTCTCTTCATTCTTCTTCTGCTCCATCTCTAGCTTTTCGTGCTTTCTCTTCTCGCCGTGTTTGTTTCTTGCCTTTATCAACTCACCGATCTTTTTTTTTCATCGCCTCCACCTCTCCTTCTCTCTTAAGCTTCTCATTTTATCTCTTCCTCCCGTCAGGGCGACCCATGATAGCTGGTGGAATGGTACTTCTAGGCACATTTGCCCTTTCCTCTTGATCAACATCATTTGCGACATCGTCCATCTCTGAAGAGAAATTGGCACCCTCCATATATTTTGACTTGCCATTCTCATTCCACGTGCTCTTCCAACAAACCCAACAATGTTGGAGGCAAAATGGTTTGCTCTTTGACTTGGCCATTTATCTGTACGTCGCTTGGATTATGGCGTCCTAAAACAAACAAGTTCACAAATTGATGATAATGCTCAAAGTAATGGAAATGTGGCAATCAAAAAACAACAACAATGCCTATATATTGAGCAATGGTAGAACCGCTAGGAGGAACGTACTTCACTTGCTCCTTATAGCACGCCCAAGACTACAGATCTCTTGAATCATACCCCGTCAATTTGTTAGAGATTTGAGGCTACTTTCATTGTCCACCAAAGATGAAATATGAAACATTCATCGATGCATGCCCAATACTTTTTGTTGAATGGTCCTTCCCGACAGTCGTATTGAGAGAGAGATATTGCCATGCCCGGATAAGAGTAACATGCTCGGTCTTGAGCGAGAGATATTGACATGCCCGGTCTAGAGTACTTGAGAGCACTCGGTGCTCAGGATACTCATAAGCTTTTGGAGATGAACAAAGCCCGTGGGTTTTCAGGTATGCTTGGGTTTATCGATTGCAAGCACTGAAAGTGGAAGAATTGTCCTACAACATGGCACGGACAGTTCGGAGAACGCTCCAAGGATGCCACCATCATTCTTGAGGCCGTTGCCGATAAAGAGACATGGATTTGGCATGCATATTTTGGGACCTGGATCTTGCAACGACATCAATGTGCTCAACAGATCACCTCCTTTTACCAAGTTAGCCAACGGAGAAGCTCCACCAGTGACCTTCGAAGCAAATAGCCGCACCTACAACTATGGGTACTACCCATGCGGATGGGATCTATCCGAAGTGGAGCACTTTTGTGAAGACAATCCAAACCTCCTAAGGTAAGAAAGAAACAATGCTCAAGCGGCAACTAGAAAAGATGTTGAGTGGGCATTTGGGGTTCATAATCCCAAATTGCTATTGTGTTAGGACCGGCTAGATTCTGGGATCAGAAAAACCTTTTGCACATCATGACTACTTGTGTGATCATGTACAAAATGATCGCTCGGAATGAGGGTGGGCACGATTTGGATTATACCGTCTATCATCTCATGGGCGTACATGCTCGGAGGATTAGAAGAGAGGACCGAGTCCGATGTTCCATGGAGGTGTACCATGGCATTAGAGAGGTCCATACGTGCAATGATCTTCAGAAAGAAGTCATGAAGGAGTGGTGAAAATGGCATAGGGATCAAGCCTCCTAGTTTCATTTCTTTGTTTGTTGTATTGTGCAAGGATTTTGTTGTATTTTATGTTGCATTCCATGTTGTGGATTTGATAAACTATGTAATATTTTGATGTTGAGAACTGATAAAACTTTTGGGGTGATTTTTATTTCAAATTGTGTGGTTTTAGCGCTGCTGCCATTGGTCGTAAAAATCGCACCTGACCCCGCATATATTCCTCGCCATCCGCTCTCCGGACACCCTAGCCACCTCACACTCCACTACCCTCAACTCCCTATGCCACCCAAGCTCACCTCCAGCGATTTCCAGCCGTCTACGACATGACGGGTAGCGGATTTGACTCCGATCAATCTGGATCCGTCGACTGAGGTGTCATCTCGTGCGGGTTGGAGGAGGTAATGACGGTCCGCATTGCACTCCGCTGCTCCAGGGGGACAGCGCCCGACCGACGGAAGGATCTGTCCGGCGTGACTCCATAGCGTTGGCTCAACGGGCGTTGGGTCCACTGGAGCTGGATCATCGTGGTCCAGGCAGCCGGAAAATCTCTCCTCCATAATTGGTCGGGCAGACTATGAGTCCCATCGGGAACGGACGGCCCGCCGTGGGAAGGAGAGGATAAGGGCTGCCGAGGCCCATATCGCGGCAAAAATGGTGGTGGTTGATGCGGTGGCATGGGCGGCCGTAGAGGAGGAAGCCATCCGCGCCTACATTGTGAAGAAACGGCACCGGAGGAACACGCGCGTCCTCGGCCGAGAGCAGAATCGGACGGCTCGTGCCATGGCCGGACTGCCACCGAAGGAGGAGAAGGAGGACAACGGCGACGAGAACAGCTCTGGCGACGAGCGGATCCAGCTCGGTCCACCGATACTTCCGCGAGAAGGACAGCAAGGGTGCTGGAAAGGGCAAGGGCAGCCGTGGATGATCTCCGCCATAGCCAAACATGCCAAATTTTGGTAGTCCGGTGGCATGTTAGTAGTGATGGGGTAGCCGGACGATGTATGTAATGCATCGACGTTGTTACATGAGTTTGTATGAATTTGAGATATGATGATTGAGGTGTTTGGTTGTGAAAAGGCAAATGTAGGACCTGACTGGTCAATGTCCACAGAGGTGCCCCGGTGTTTGATGGGCAGGATTTGTAAACTCCGGCTGTATGTGTTCTGTTTCGAGTCAAGCAGGAATGGAGTCGATCATGCGTGTGATGAAGGACGATGCATCTATATGTACGTACGTACGTAGTTTCACGAAAGCGAGAAACAAGATAGATGGAGCACGCACACAGGGCCGGTCCTAAGATTTTGGGGGCCCGGGGCGAAACTACGATCCGGGGGCCCTTCGGGGCCCTTAGTATAAATGCCTAATTAATAATCATCATATGTACATATAATTTGTATCAAAGAAAATAATTAAGTGCATCCAAAATGATTGTGCATATCACATAATGTATTACATATTACCTTCAAAATTTTCTACTAACATTCTGAGATGCAAAATCACTAACGATAGTATCAATATCAATTTCATCAAGCAATTTTTTCTCGATGCATAAAGTTGCCAAGCCATTTAACCTCTCTTGCGACATTGTAGATCTCAAGTAGTTCTTCAACAATTTCAACTTCGAAAAACTTCTTTCAGCTGATGCCACAGTAACAGGCATAGTAAAGAAAATCCGGTATGCAATAGCAATATTTGGATAACAATCTGCTTCCCTCACAAACTCAAAAATCTCCATAGCAGACATTGTTCTATCGGGCAAAGTTGACTGCATAACAATTAACTCAGAAATCAGATCATTTAAATCAACATCAGATGAACCACCCGAAGAGAAAGCACTTGCAAATTTTGTGCAACTATCTTTAAGTTCAGAACGGTCCAATGACTTCAAGGCCATTGAACTCATTAAAAATCCAAATATATTTTTGAATGACTCAAGTTCGTCAAACCTAATTTTCAGTGAGGTGGCCGCCTTATCAACCATAATCAAGAAATAATTGACTTTAAAATCCTTCTCAGCTTCCAATATCGCTTCATCACTGTCATCTTCATCAAATTGTTTCTTCCTAGAAACACGGCGCTTTACTGGAAATGATGGTTCTACACCCATTTCAGTTGCAATTTCTTTGGCAATGATCACACTAGAATCAAACCCTTCATCTCTATAAGTGTCAAAATAAGTCCTCATACCATCTATTTGCTTTAAGGCAGTCTCAATGCACATGGACGGTGATTGCAGCTTCGTGCTTACCGAATCTACAGCAAATAGAATGTCATGCCAAATGACCATGCCAAGTATGAACTCATAGCTGCCAAGCACATCAAACAAATTTTTAGCATCACTCCTATCCTTTGGTTCGGTACCACTATCTTCACTTAACTCAAGTAAAGCTGATCTTATGTTAGGAGCTTGAAATCTGATTGCTTTAACACTTTTGATACGACTCTCCCAACGAGTATTGCTCAAAGATTTCACAGTCAAATCTGTCACATGGCTAAGAAAAACTTTCCATCTTTTTGTAGAACCACTGAATAATACATATATTCGTTGCACAATTCCGAAAAAAGAAACGGCTCTACCACAAGATTTAGCCATATCACAAAGGGTAAGATTAAGACTGTGGCAAGCACATGGCATATACAAAGCTCTTGGATTTACCTCAAGCAACCGACTTTGCACCCCCTTGTATTTTCCTTTCATGTTGGATCCATTGTCATAACCTTGGCCCCTAATATCATCAATATTAAGATCAAAGGACTTCATAGAATCAACCAGTACCTTGAAAATTCCCAAACCAGATGTGTCCTCCACTACCAAAAAAGCAAGGAAGTACTCCATAATTTGTATTTTTCCATCAGACATATGAACACATCGAACCAACAAACTCATTTGTTCTTGATGACTCACATCCGGGGTACAATCTAGGATAACCGAGAAATATTTGGCCACTTTGACAATCTTGAGAATAGAATTTGTAATGTCACCAGCCATAAGAGAAATCAACTCGTTTTGAATTTTATGGCTAAGATAATGGTGATGGATCTCTTTGTTTTGAATACGCCTAAGATGATCTTGCATTACCAAATCAAACTCTGCAACCATCTCCACACAAGCTAAAAAATTTCCATTACAATCATCATAAAGTTGCTCACTGAATCCTCTAAAAGCCAAATTGCGCTTACCAAGAAATTTCACAATGGCAACAATTCTTAACAAAACTAGCCTTATGCGTTCCTTCTCCTTTGTGATTTGTTGCTGTAAGTCTTTGTCAATTGTTTCATGCTTGCTCAGTCTAACTCTCAATTCATTCCAAGAGTTCATGTTGGTAATATGGTCGACACTAGCTTCGTGCTCTTTCAGTCTCTCATTAATATGCCTCCAATCACAAAACCCATCATTCCCCATTGCACTTTTGCATTTATCAGAATTGAAAAGCTTACAGCAAAAACAAAACACTTTCTTTGTGCGTTTTGAAAAAACTAACCATTTTCTGTCACGGACCTCTCCATTGCTCATCTTTCTTGAGTAATGGCTATATGAAAAATGTCTTAAATTCTCATCCAAAGGATATTTAGTGTTTTCTTCTTCCCTTTTAGGCCCCTTTTCCACTAATATGTCCCTCGCTTTGTTATCAAGGTTACCCCAATTGCTTGGATCATAAATATCCACACTAATTGGTTCATCATCAACACTAGTAGATTCTGCCGCAGATGAATTAAATATGGGCTCATGATCACTCACATTGCTATCATCCATGTTGACGTCAACATCGCCTTCTGTAGGAGTATGACCATCATCTTCCGGATTGCAATCAGTTCGGTCACCCGCAAGAACTATCGCCAACTCGTCTGGATTACTGGGCGTATAATAATTAAAAAGAGATCCGCTCAATGCTTCTTTCTCGTCATCTGCCTTCTTCTTCTTCTTTCTTTTATGACTTCCGGATGGATATTTTCTACCTGTACTCGACATGACCCTGCTGAAATTGAAAGGAACAATTCACTTTTAAAATTAGCGCAAAGCTAATTAAAATATTAGATTAAGTACAGAAGATCATCTAATATAATGAGAATCTGATAGGGTATGGTATATTACCTTCTCTCTATAATCTAATCTGGCAACGTGGGCGAATGATTCGAGCGCCCTAAAAACAATTCCCTGTTTATCTGTTCGATCGATTGAGAAATCAGGAATCAGGATTAGAAAGAAAAGAAATAGGACCAAGATCATGCGAGGGAAGAGAGGGCGCCGAGACATACTTGTTCGGTCGAAGAGATCCTGCTCCTGGGTTCCTGCTGCAGTCGTCACGTCGTTCGTTCATGAGGAGGAGAGTCGAAGAGACGAACAGGAACAGCGGAACGACCGATCCTAATTGTTTTTTTAGGAAAGACCGATCCTAATTCCTAAGTTACAGGAAATCAATCCAGTTATTCCTTTTCCTCTCCGATCAGTTCTCCTTTCCACGTGTGTACAGAGTACGTGCAAACATGGGCCAGGCCCAACGTACTGGTTTTACCGTCCTAGGCTAGCATCGAAGCTGAGCGAGGGTGAGGCGCTAAGAATTTTTTTCCTGTCGAACCGTATCTACGTACGTATACCTGGGAGGTGCCCCGGTGTTTGATGGGCAGGATTTGTAAACTCCGGCTGTATGTGTTCTGTTTCGAGTCAAGCAGGAATGGAGTCAATCATGCGTGTGATGAAGGACGATGCATCTATATGTACGTACGTAGTTTCACGAAAGCGAGAAACAAGATAGATGGAGCACGCACACATGGCTGACAGCCGAGGCCGAGTCCCAAGTGCAGGCACCATAGCTGAGCAATAATGCCCCACGGGTGGGTGTGGCTTCATCAAAGTGAATGAACTCAAAAAACGGCCCTTGGACTGAAAGGTGAAGCATCGATGCCCATGAACCGAACGAAATTTCACTGCACAGCAACTGCAAGCGCAAGCACGGAAAGGCCCGGTCCTCCCCAGATCAACCAATCAAAGGCGCCTACGTGTCCATGGCCCTAGTCTGGCCTAGTCTAGCCTAGCCAGTCCGGGCCAACCGCGAACCGCCACCGCCGTGCGCGCGGCGCCGCCGATCCGCCACCGTCACCGGACGGACGCGCGGCGCCCCAGACAATCGGGGGATGGATGGATGGATGGATGGGGTCCGTGGCCGCGGAGGACGCGTTCACGCGGCCGTGCTCGTCAATTTGGAGCGGAGTAGCCCTTTTCCGCCCGGCCCCGGCCCCCGGCCCGCGCGACGGAACCGGTGCGCCACCAACCCCAATCATGCATGCGCGCGCGTCGGCGTCGGCGTCGATCGACCAATGGGTCGATGGATCCTACTACCAGCAGAGGCTCCAGCCCCCAGCTAGCGTGACGCCGGCATCCCAAGCTACTTTCTGTCGGTCGGTCTTTCTCTACGCGCGCCTCTCCCCCGTCTTTCACCCCCCGATCCGATCCGTGCGATTCCACGCCGTTCGACGGTGGAACTTGAACAGAGGATGGACGAGTAGTTAATTTATATGTATACTGCGTGACATGGAGGGAGGATTGGTTAAGCCATTTGTACAGGTTGAAGGCCTCAATCAATCAATCAATCAATCGGCTGGTTGACATGTATGGGCGATCGATCTTCCCCTTTGTCTGCTCGGCTGGTCAGTGACCTCACTCGCCCACGATGCGGTTTGCTGAAGCATGCGCCTAATACCATAATTTTTCTCAGTATTATCAGCGGCTGAGATATCACTTTAGCTGGCCCGATCGGCGCTCGTAATACACTCTGGAAGACCGAGACCTCGCACCCATAAACAATGGCTAAATCCAAGTAAAAAAATCATTTACTCTACCAATATGCAATTAGGGCATATAAAACGGTAGCATACGGATACATATGCCGATGACAAAAAATAGTTTGAGGCATCTAAACCACGGATGTGTAGCCTGCGTGTGTGCGGATCTGAGCCACGAAAAGGGCATGCTTGCATGGCTGCGGTTACGTGCAGGCGCAACCACTGAATCATAGAGTGGTGCAGTGCAGTGTACCACCAACGAACGGTCGATCGATCTGGTAGCTAGCTAGCTACTGTCCATCGACATCACCCACTGCATTGCACTGGACTGGAGTGCGCCCAACAGCCAGCCAGCCAGCCAGCCCGGCTGCCTTGAACGAACTGCCCACCCCGTGACGCCTACCCCGTAACCAACCTCCTAATTTCTGTTGCATCCTCCTTCTTCTTCTTCTTCTTCTTCTTCTTCTTCTTCTTTGCGACTAAAAAACTTGTTTGCCCCGCCATTTGTAATTCTAGCCCTCATCAAAGAGGAGGCGGCACTTTGGTCGCCGCCGGTGCTAATAAGTTGAGTTCAATCATGTCGGGAGAGTAGTCCCTTTGTAAGGTGGTGTTTTAATCCCTCTAACTCTTTCTTCTCTCTTAATTAATATATGAGACAAATCTTTTGCCTCCTTTCAAAGAAAAAAATTTGTTGGATTCGAACAGCCACGTGGCTTTACCGAATACTAGCACCAAAAAAAGCCAGGGTGATTTGGGTTTCACTTTTCAGATTTACCACCAGCTCGCTCTTTTCACCTTGGCTCGACAGGCAGGCAGTGTGCCTCCAGCTGTAGAGATATTGTTGTTTATGCTCCGATGGTACATTTTTGTCTCTTTGTACTGTTCGGGCGTTTGCACAGGAGCAGGGCTTTGTCGGGACGGGCGGGCGGGCAGGATTTGGTTAGGCATCCGATG